CAGGGCATGGCCCATGGGGCCTCTTAGGGCAGTTCCTCTTGAGGTGGCCTGGCTTTTAACAGTGCCTACCCAGAATTTTTATCTTTATTTTGAGACAGGTTCTTGCCAACTTGCTCAGGCTGGACTCAAACTTGCTATCCTCCTCCCTCGGCTGAGATTGCAGACATCTGCTGCTGGGCCTAGTTTGCAGTTTACCTTTGGATCTCTCCAAAGTGTTTGACTTGGGTTAGTTTTCACACCACAATAACTTTTGTTGCCCTTGTATATTGATTTACTATCTAATTAAGTTACAGTATATGATTATAGTAATAAATGCAGGTGCCTTAACACAGGTTTTAGGGAGGAGCATAATAACCAGTAGTAAACATACAACTGAGCCGGCTTGCCTATTCCAAGCATTAGTCCATGTGTAATGAACAGGAAAAAAAGAGACTGTGGGGCAGTAATACGGAATGAAAATCCACAGGTGCGTAGTCTGGGGGAGAGAAGAAAAGTTGAGAGATGATATTGTAAGTATCAGTTAACGTTTCTGGAAGTGTCTGTATTCCAAGGACTGTACTCAGTGCCATACTTGTACCAGTTTGTTTTACCTGCAGTAATTTATTAAACAGCTAAGCAACCAGAGCTCAGAAAAATGAAATCAGTAACCAGCTGTGGTTGAGGTCTTACAAGATGAAGTCTGACCAGAGTCCTGTGTTGGCTTCTGATTAACTGCTGCCTCTGCCCTTCACTGTCCACCCATTTTCTCTTCTTGCAGCTCACAGGGAAACTACCCTCTCCAAGATGTACAGAACCAAAGTGGGCTTGAAGGACCGACAGCAGCTCTACAAGCTCATCATTAGCCAGCTGCTCTACGATGGCTATATCAGCATTGCTAATGGACTCATCAATGAAATCAAACCTCAGTCTGTCTGTGCACCTTCTGAGCAGCTCCTGCATCTCATCAAACTCGGTATCTTATGAGTGCAAACCTGTAGATCCCATAGTGAAGTTTTAGATGTTTTCACACAGCAGGGTATTTTTAAGATTGTTGCTATGTTTGTTCCTGTCTAGTGTACACCAAGTACAGTGCTGGTGCTAAAAGGCTAGGGGCCCAAATTAAGACTTGAAGCTAGTTCAGTGTGTTTATACACATTACCTGGAATACTCAACGTTACATTGAATTATTGCATACATCTACTCCCTTTGACTTAGTAATGCCAATTGTGAAAATGTATCCTGAAGAAATAAAGTGGTTGAAATGTCAAAGAATAAGGAATTAGCTATAGATTGTTAATATCTGTAAAACTCAATAAAACAATATAGTAATGTTACAGATAAATGTTTTTTGGTGTTTTTTTTTGTTTTTGGTCTTTTTGAGACAGGGTCTCACTATGCAGTTCCGGCTGGCCTTGAACTCACATTGTAGCCCAGGCTGGTCTCAAACTCGCAGGGATCCTCCTGCCTCAGCCTCCTGAGTGCTGGGATTACAGGCATGCACCACCATGCCCAGCCAGATAAATGTTTATTAAGGCAGAAAGATTTTTTAGTCTATACAATTAAATGAACAAACAAGTCACAACATGTTACATAAGACAGGCCTATTTTATTTTGAAAAATAAAACAATTATATACATAGGAAAAGGGCCAAAACATTCATACCACAGTGATAACAGTTATCTCTAGGTGGTAAAATTCAAGGTTATTGTTTTCCTGTTCATAAGTAGTTCTAATTTCTTCTGTACTGAGTGTACACTATTATTTACATGATAGGAGGTTTTTTTAAAATTTAAAAAACAATTTCTTCTGGGTGTGGTGGCGCACGCCTTCATCTCAGCGCTCAGGAGGCTTAGGCAGGAAGAATTCCACAGCTCAAGGCCTTCCTGTGCTACGTAGAGAGTTGAAGGTCAACCTGAACTGTCTAGTGAGATGCTATCTCAAAAAAAATACATTTTTCTTGGTAAACTTGAGTTTATTTAACTACCACTTCAGAAACATCTCACTAATGTTAAAAGTATACCTCTCCTATGAGCTGTGTAACTATGACTACCATATCTCAGCCTTTAAAATATTAAAATGCAGAATACGAGAAAAAGAATCTAACTGCGGACCTGCTATTTTGTTGCGTTTCGGTAGCTGTCATTAAAATAGTAAACTTTCAAGTTAGAAGGGGAGTGACTTTGGCTGCAGGAACCTAACGCACACTGCCTCGCAGTCCCGTGAGCCGCGCAGCATGGCCATGGTACGTCATTCTGTCAGGCAGGAGGTGTCCTGCACAGCCAAAAAACTAAGCTGTTTGCAAACATCTTTGCAGTTTGACGCCAGAACTTGCTTCTTTTAAGAAGACATTTTTCCATGCTCTTAATTTTGATTTCTTTCAGGAATGGAAAATGACGACACTGCAGTTCAGTATGCCATTGGTCGCTCAGATACAGTTGCCCCTGGCACGGGGATTGACTTAGAATTTGATGCGGATGTCCAGACCATGTCCCCAGAGGCTTCTGAGTATGAAACCTGCTATGTCACCTCCCATAAAGGACCGTGCCGCGTAGCCACGTACAGCAGAGATGGGCAGTTAATAGCTACTGGCTCTGCTGATGCTTCTATAAAGATTCTTGACACAGAAAGAATGTTGGCCAAAAGTGCCATGCCAATAGAGGTGAGAATCCCAGTAACACACGGTTTGCCTTTTGTGGTTCATGCTCATGAGAAGAAGAATATGATTCAAGTCAGTTTGATTTACCGTAGTGGTGAATCGTGGTTGATCTGAGCAGTTCCTGTATCTTGAGCATCTCTACATTTCTCCTCCTAGGTCATGATGAATGAGACTGCACAACAGAACATGGAAAACCACCCAGTGATTCGAACTCTGTACGACCATGTGGATGAAGTCACATGCCTTGCTTTCCACCCAACAGAACAGATCCTGGCCTCTGGTTCCAGGGATTATACTCTTAAATTATTTGATTACTCCAAACCATCTGCAAAAAGAGCCTTCAAATATATTCAGGTTAGGAATGTTTTGAAGGGTGCTGTATATTTTGTCTTAATCACAGGGAGCTTTTATGTGACTCTTTAAAAGCAATTTCAGTGATCGTCCTATAAACTAAGAGTACAGCAACTCGGAAACATGCCCAAGTGGCACATGGGTTGGATTCTTTTGGCACGTAGTTGAAACCCTGTCCCATGCCTGCTTCCTCAAGTCACAGTTCATGGAACAGGGATTCAAACTGCACATCACTTTTGACAGATGGCAGATGCCTATTAAAAGCAAAACTGTTGGGGGCTGGGGATTTAGCTCAGCGGCAAAGCGCCTGCCTGGCAAGCGCAAGGTCGTGAGTTCGGTTCCCGGTACCGGAGAAAAACAAAACAAAAAAAAAACCAAAACTGTCACCTAAAAGTGTAAGTTACGGGGATGGACAAGAGCACTCAGTTCAAAGTAGGGACATCCGGGATTCTGCTTTGAATATGCATTACCGAACTACTAATGTGTCCACCCTTCAGGGTTTAGTACTCGGTACTTGCATCCCTGGAGCAAATTAAAGAAGCTGTTCTTGCCAGGCCTGATGGTACATGTCTGTAGTCCCAGCACTCAGGAGGCTGAAGCAGGAGGATCACAAGGTCAGGTTCATCCTGTACTACATAGTGAGATCCTCTCTCGAAAAACGGGGATGGGGGAGAAGGGAAAAGATATTCCTAGTGAAAATATATTTATCTTCAGTAATGTACCTGAATGTGCCATGGATTAATAATCCGTTAATATTCTATTCTGAGCTCATTTGTAAATTAAACCTCCTTTCTGTAAGTTGGGGAATAATTAAACAATAAATATATACTTTTGGGAATCTCTGCTTAAAAAAATACACAGTCCAGAATATACTTTTATTCCTTCTGATACTTGTGTAGTACCTGGTAATTGTGTTTTATACTTTCTTTGCGCCAGTCAAATAAATATCTTCCACATTTCTCTGATCACCTACGTTAACGTCTGTCCTTACAGGAAGCGGAAATGTTACGCTCCATCTCTTTCCACCCTTCTGGAGACTTTATACTTGTTGGCACTCAGCACCCCACTCTGCGCCTTTACGATATCAACACCTTTCAGTGTTTTGTCTCTTGTAATCCTCAAGATCAACACACCGATGCTATATGTTCTGTGAATTACAATCCCAGTGCCAACATGTACGTAACGGGTAGCAAGGACGGCTGCATCAAATTATGGGATGGCGTTTCAAATCGATGCATCACAACTTTTGAGAAAGCACACGACGGTGCTGAAGTCTGTTCTGCCATTTTTTCCAAAAATTCTAAATATATTCTGTCCAGTGGAAAAGACTCGGTAGCTAAACTGTGGGAGATATCAACAGGACGAACACTGGTCAGGTACACAGGTATGTGGAATTGTTACTGTTCTGTGGTATTTTATGATTCCAGAACTCTGAGGTCTTTGCAGTAGAGCAACACAATAAATGCATGCTGTGGGCAAGAGAGATGTTAACCCTCTTAGGTAACAAGAGCCAAAACTTAGATATTTAAATTGTTTTGCCAAGGGCTGCAGTTAGAGGAAGAGCTGGGAATAAAATCATGGTTTCTCAGCTTTACTGTTGCTACATCGCAGCTTAGAGCAGTGATGGCGAACCCCTTAGAGCTTCCAGTGGTGCCGGCAACACACGTGCCATAGGTTTGCCACCACGGACTTAGAGAAAGCCCCGATCTTGTGACGGTTGCTTAAGAACCTGGTGATCGTTGTAGACTGATGACTCACCCTCGTCACACAAAACATGAACACACACAGCCTAGAGAAAAGCATCAGTCAGTGGAGCTCAGTAATGGTGTGCACGAGGGAAAAAGGACGAGGAGAGAAGGTACCAGCCCATTCGGAGGAGCAGGAGTAGCCCCGAGATGAGATTGCCAGTGTCTGAACCTAGATACCAAGGGGGCTCAGCAGACGGAAAAACAAAATTAAAACTTGTAAAATACTCATTAATTCATGTCAGTGTCCCGCACTGGTAACAAGTAAGCCTGTGGGCTTTTCTTACAATGAATCTGTGTAAATGTGTCCCGTAATTGGTAGTCAGGGTTCGGGGATTACCTGGTTAGTTGCAGGTAAGTGTTAAAATGCATTTCACTGTTCCTGCAGCAGCAGAGATTGAGGCTTGGTGAAAAGCCTCCAGGGAATTCTGCTGGTTTCCTCCCTTGTGAGAAGTTTGTGTCCTGTCCTAAAACGCCAGGATCGTAGCTCAGAAAATACACAAGAAAACACTAAGAGGAAGGGGCTGTACTTCGTAAGTTAGCATCTTAGAGCAGAAAACGGCAGGGCTGGTGACACTGGGACCACTAGGGTGCAGCAGTGTCTCCTTGTGCCAGCGCTCGCTTCCCTGCCGTCCTTTGGCTTCTGGCCTGTGTAGTTCACCCAGCACCGCTCTGGAAGAGCTGTTCTTACCCTGACTCGTGGTGACTTGGTGGAAACACTTACGTGAAGCTATTTTTAAAAAATATGTCTCAGGGGCTGGGGATTTAGCTCAGCGGCCCAGCGCCTGCCGGGCAAGCGCAAGGTCGTGAGTTTGATTCTTGGTACTGGCAAAAAAAAAAAAAATGTCTCATTACTCTTAAAGAGCTGTGTTCTTGGTACAAAGGCATCAGAGTGAATGTGGAAGTGTTCCCCTTTGCACTGCAAGTGACGAGCAGCTGTGGGGAATGTGGTCTGTCTAGATAGACGCACGCCACACTGTTGACAAGAACTTACATTTTTGGAATGTCTTCACTTGGTGTGTGGTCGCTTGGTTTGTATTGCTGAAGAATGGCAATGTGATTTTTCAGAAATGGAATTGTATTGAATTTATGTGCAAATTCGTTTTTTTTTCCTAATTCCCTGTTGTGTCGGCACTTTTAAGACTTTTTTAGTTTAAATCTTTAGAATTGAAAGTATTCTTGAAATAATGAAAGAAAAGGGAAACTATGAAAACAACCTGTCTTGGTTACTTTTTGTCGCTGCTGAGGCAAAATATGCAACACCCAAAATGAAGGAAGGAAAGGTTTATTTAGCTTACAGTTTGTGGAGGTTTCAGTCCATGCTTGGCTGGCTCCGAGGCAGAAGATAGCAAAGCAACAGGAGCAAAGGCGGGAAATGGCAGCTGAACAGCAAACAGCCAGAGCAAACCAGAGAAATGGCCGCAGGCAGCTTTTTTTCTTGTCTTACTTTGTAAACAGGCTACCCCCACCTAAGGGGCATGTAGCTCTCACATAATCTCCATGCCCTCCTCTTCCACAGGCTCAGGATGTATACAAAGTAAGCACCCTGGCTTCCTGCTGAGTCACTTAGCCAAACCTCTAGACTCCCCAAGTTGACACAATGTATCAACCATAACACAACCTCAGAAATTCTGTCTTAGATGTAGTGGTGCACCTACAGTCCCAGCCACTTGAGGCAGGGGCAGGAGGGTTCCAGTTACAAGGCCAGCCTGGACAACTTAGTATAAGATCCTGTCTTAGAATAAAAAGGAATGTAGCTTGATAGCAGAGTGCTTACCTAGCATGTGCCAGGCCCTGGCTTAACAACACTCGCTATGGGACTGTAATTTGTATGTCTTGTTGCCAGGCCACTTCTGACCTCAATTATCCTGCCGGCTTGAACCATCAGAGGTTCCTCCATGACTATCTGAAAACGTGGGTGCTGCTCAGGCTGCAAAAAAGCCAAACCTTACGACATTTTGAGCACCGTGCCCAAATCGGCCACATTCACATATAAAGTGTTCTAAAGAAATTCACAAATATAAATTTATTATGATTTAATGAAATAAATTTGTTGATTTTTGTAATTTTAATTGGTATGAATAGTATCAGTATTTATATTTGGGCAGTAATTTCAAATTCAAGCAGCTGACTAGATTCAGTTCATTAACAGATTTTTTAAAACTCTATTAGTAAAAAGACAGATAAAAATGGTTGGATCCAGTTTTACCACCAGTGGTACAAGACAGTCGTGTGTGTCACCACTGACTCTTCAGGCTGGCAAGAACGTGTTAACCTGTTATTGCAAGAAAGAAAACGCAGAGGGATGGAGGGAGGGAAATCTGATGCTAGATTAGCTGTAGGCTAATTAAAATGCTGAACATAATACATACACGTACGTATATCAGTCTACCACAAACATGCGTACACACTTCAGGAAAAGAAAAACTCGTATAGATATTTTAATGCTAAGTTTATTGAGGCATCATGAGATTAATACTTGTTCCCTTTGGCTTCTAAATTACAAGAGCTGCTCAAAGCAGTGGCCATCAGCTTCCAGACGTTTGTTAGTACTGCGAGCTGCTGCTTGGGTGACCTTGCTCATGGAGATCGCTGCACATGCATTTTCAATTCCTTTTCCAAGGGCTGGCAGTGTGGTGGGTTTTCTGTCATACACCACATCCTCTAGGGACCCCCATACAAGGGCAACATCATCTGTTGAAAAAAAATCATATTTTCTTTTCCTGAAGTGTGTATACATTTTTGGCAGACTGTATATGTATGCTTGTTAAACAGTTTTAATATTTTTAACCTATGAAAACACCTTATTAAGCACTATGGTAGCGGATGCCTGTAGTCCCAGCACTTGACACAGAGACAGGAGGATCACAAATCGAGACCAGCCTGGGCCACCTAGTGAGTTCAAGGCCAGCGTGAGTCACGTAGTATAAGGCCCTGCCTTACCGGGGGTGGAAAGTAGTGGTGCGCACCTGTAATCCCAGCACTCTGGGAGGTTGAAGCAGGGTTGCAAGTTGCATGGGCAGTCTGGCAACCCAGGGAGAGCCCTTCTCAGAGATGCAGATGTCCCGTAAGTATGAGATAGCCAGCTTTTCTCTACAGCCAAAAAGTGAAAATGGGAGTATCTTGGTTTTTGTTTTTGTACTTTAGATTTCAGAAATTTAAGATAAATATTCTCTAGTATTAATGAAGATTTGAAGAAGTCAGCATTTCAATGATAGGAAGATAGTTGGTGAAATATTTCTGTGTGGGTTTTCTCACAATATATCCACTCATAGCAATTCAATCTGAAAAGCTAATTGAACAAGCGCCTATGTGCATGCACAACCGAATGTCTACCCTGCCGTTACTTGGAGTCGTTGAAAGTTACAAAAACTAAATGTCCTCCAGAAGCATCACATAAATCTATTGTGTGACCGTTGACAGCACGCAACCTTAAAAATAAGTACTCGTGGTAGCAGTGCTTTTGAGCACTTGCACTGCAAGGCTCCCGTGGGTGACCTCATTTTAATCCTCACAGCCTTCCGCGGTGGGTGCTGTGGTGATCTCCCTGAACGGGGAGGAAATTAAGATTTCTGAGTGTTAAATAGTTTGCTCAAGATGACATCGTGAATAAGTGTTACATCCACATCGGAGCACAAAGTCTGTTTTTAATTCACTAAGCTGTATTCCTTTTATAGATCAGCACTACATACTTCTGAATGAAAATAGCATGTAACAAATGCTTGTAAGCATCTGTGTATAATTTACAGAAGAGTGTGAAATACATAGGTATTTGAGAAGGATAGCCTCCCAAAAAATCTGTTGTTTCTGAGTGACGAAATTATCCGGCAGCTTTAATTTCTTTTTTTATGCTAAGTGTATTTCGTTGAAAATAATACATTTTATTGTCATGAAAGGATACGGCTTCCTTTTGGAAAGTGAATGTTTATACACTTTGTCCTAATAGTTCTTTTCCTAGGAGTTTAATTTTAAAGAAATAAACGGTATGGCTGGACGTGGTGGCACACTCCTGTAATCCCAACAATGGGGAGGCTGAGACGCGAGGATCATTGTGAGTTCAAGACCAGCCTGAGCGACAAAGTGATCTCAAGGCCAGCCTAACCTGCGTATCAAGACCCTGTCTTGAAAATCCAAAAAAAATAAATAAACCCTGTGTACAAAGGATGTTGATCACATTGTTTACAAGTGGTGACAAACTGAGTGTCTAGCAGCCAAAGAACTGTTAGGAATGGTGCTTAGAGACACAGAATACTTTGCAGCTAATAAAAATATACGCAAAAATGTACCCAACACAAAGCTGTAGAAAGTAGGCATGTTTGAGCCTCAACAGTTGTACAGAGTCCATCGCTTAAGCAGTCTTGTGATGCTATTTTTGCATTAAAAGGATTCGGAACAGTATTAGAACGTTCTGGTGGGCTGAGGTGTGAGCCCGGAAAGCCGCCCCTTGTCCGCAGGCCCGTAATCTCTCGGCTTTCCTTGCAGGTGCAGGTCTGAGCGGACGGCAGGTGCACCGGACGCAGGCCGTCTTTAACCACACCGAGGACTATGTGCTGCTGCCTGACGAAAGGACAATCAGCCTCTGCTGCTGGGACTCGAGGACAGCGGAGCGGAGAAACCTCCTCTCCCTGGGGCACAACAACATCGTGCGCTGCATAGTGCACTCCCCCACCAACCCTGGCTTCATGACGTGCAGCGACGACTTCCGAGCTCGGTTCTGGTACCGGAGGTCCACCACCGACTGAGCCGCTCTCTGTGCTGTCCCCAGCGGCAGTGGGAGGTCCTTGCACCATCTGACAGTTGTGCGCCATCTCTGTCTGCATCCTCGGATTGTACAAAAGAACCTTTTTTTACCTTGATGTAGAATCATGGTGGAAAAAGTAGGAAACACATCTGTGCGGTTCTGCATTCACTGATTATTACAGTGTGATTTTTACCGGTTTTTTAAAATACAGGGCTTGCCATTTCTTTTGACTCTTGATCACTTGGCAAAAGAATATTAAAGTGCATTCTAGATCTCAAGTGAATTCGTGAGTAACTTTGATTTGGTTCTTTCGACAACTTTCATGCCTGTTTTGCTATATTCTCTGTATATTAACTTTTCAAATACAGTTTTGGTAGATTTGCCTGCGACTGTGAGAATCTGGAGTTGTATGCCACATTAAACTGTTATCTGAGAATTGCTCAGCTCAACACTAAAATACCATCATTCTGCTAATAAAGCTCAGATCTGCACCATTAGTGTTATATATTTCTCAGTTCAATAAAATGAATGGCCGGTTTTTCTTGAAGATGTGTAGGAGCTGTATCTGTCATCGTACCTCGCAATCCCTTCCGCACCCACCAGAGCTTATCCTTAGTAAATGTATTTCTAATAAGATGATTACAATTGGATGAGAGACAAGAATATGTTCAAACTAAACACAGGGGCGCCTGCAGTTGCCTACCTTCATGAAGATTAGTACCGGTTGCCTTTGTTCTTACATCATTTTAAATCTTTTCAGCTCCCTTCAGCATGACTAACATTATCCCAAATGCGTGTGGAGCTACGTTCCCAGTAGAGCAGTGCAGTTAACCTTCGGATGAAAGTTCTTTTTCTTGAAATTCTTTAGAAAGTGATGCTATTTCTCTGGATTCAGTTCTTTCTAGGTGAGAGAAGCCTGCATTCCTGTCTTAGATTTATCCTAGAAAATAAGTACCTTGTGACCAGGTACTGTAATCCTGGACCATTTGATAAAAATGCTGTAGGTTAATGTAAAAACAGTTGCTTGTAAGGGAATCTGCTGTGCTCATCTTCATTTTAACTCCTTGGTCTGAAAAGTCCTATTAAGCATCTTGGCATGTTAGAGGACGTCAGCAGGGTCCACAGAACTATCTTTGGTCCGTGGCAAGCATGTGTTTACGGTTTTATTTTGCATCCTGATTCTCCAGTATGTAGTATTGGAACTTGGCCATCTATGGATGCCATTTGCATGAAATTAAAAGAAATCTGCTGTGCAGGAACAAAGATAACCGGTTCTACCAAAAAAATTATCAAGCAAAACTCCCCACTTCCCTTCACCCCTTACGCATTGTTTTCGAAGTGTGAAACTGTAAAGCAGATGTACATCTCGGCAGTCCCATATAGCTTGTGTTCAGAAGTAACCACGCTGAGCTCCTGCTGCAGGTTCCATTGGGTCATCTTGAGTTGTTCATAAAATAGTAAAGCCTACAGCTGAAAATAACAGCAACAATAATAATAAAGCCTGCTCTTCACAGTTAGAACTAGTCCTAGCAATAACTGTAATTCCAGGACTTAACATTTAAAGATACTCTGTGTGTTTCTAAAATAGTTTTTTCTTTTTTGTGTTTGTTTTCCTTTTAAAAGTCCCATTAATGTTTGAGCTGATGTAAATGCCAAGAATATGGACTTGGTGTCCTTACCTTAATAATTGTACCGTGTAACACTCTAGCATTCAAATGAATAAGATCCTATCTGAATGAAAACTTACATGTTATTTTTAAAGTACGTGATTTCTAAAATAAACTTTTTGTACGTAATGATAAGCTCTTAGGGTTGTTTTTTTTTTGTTCATCTGTTTTTTGGAGCTGGCTTTGGATATTCCCACGTTTTGACATCAGTTCTCAAACTGGCGCTCCTCAAGGTTCAGAGATGGTTCTAGAAGTCGTGTTCATAGTTGCGTAACCTCTAGCTCAGTCTCCTTGTTCTCCACTCTTTGAATTTACAGAATTGAATATAATTCAGTTTCTTTGAATCATTTATAGTAAACGCTTGTGTTATACCTCTTTTTATTCTAAAGAAAGGCAGTATGGAGGAGTCTGGTCTCAACCCTTACTGACTGGGTAAGAAGACAGGCAGGCCGTTACTCTTCTGGACTAGCTTTTTTTCCTTGGATTAAAAAGCATCACGCTATTCTCCAGTATGCACTTAACCAGCGAAGCTCTTTTTTGTTGTTTCTGCTGTGCATCATGATGCAAACATTACGTTGGGAGGGGCTGGGGATTTAGCTCAGTGGCAAAAGCGCCTGCCTGGCATGCGCAAGGTCGTGAGTTCGGTTCCCGGTACCGGAGAAAAACCAAAAAAAAAAACAAACATTACGTTGGGAGAGAGGAAAGTTTCGCTTTTATGGAAGAGACTCCATTTCTGAAAATACTCAGAGCACTTTCAGTAAAAACCTGGGGAGTTTCTTTTTAATCTCTAAATAGATACCTGAGCTAGCAAGAAAGTAAAGGAATTCCTGAGAGGCAAAAACAAGGCAAATCCAGAGGATTAAGAGTGCTGGAACTGACAGCTAGCTATACACAGGACACTTGTCCATTCCTTGTACCTTGTTGGCTTCTGAGCGGAAGTCCGATTTCTTGAGCATTCATGGTGTGGAAACTTTGACCAAACCCCAGAAGGCCTAGAACTCAAAAAGGGCTCCCTTAGTACGAGGGTGAGCTTGAAAACTCCTACCTACTCCAGACTGCCTGGGGGCTTGCAGAGAGCAGGAAGGGGCGGTGGCACAGGGGCAGCTGGCAGTCTGACACACAAGCTGTTCCTCGGGGAAGTTTGGAGCAATTCAAACTACCTAAACTGCTTGGAGAAAACCCAAGTAGAAAATTAAAGCCATTGCCAATGAGAGGGGCCACAGAAGCCTTGCAGAAGCCAGCAAAAATCCCTTTGTGGAGGAATGGATCTAATCCCAGTCCTCAGATCATCCTAGGTAGCCCTTTGATCATGAGTCCACAAGCCTGAGGCAGCAAGCTGCCATCATGAGACGCCATTAAAACGGACTAGAGGCCGGACGTGGTGGTGCACGCCTGTAATCCCAGCACTCAGGAGGCTGAGGCAGGAGGATTGCTGCGAGTCCGAGACCAGCCTGGGCTACAAAGTGAGCTCAAGTCCAGCCTGAACTGCACAGCGAGACCCTGTCTCAAAAAGACAAAAAAAAAAAAAAAAAAAAACAGGGACTAGAATCACACTTAGAGACTTACGGGAATTCACCGATGCAGAATATATACATATGTAAAATGTCTGTTTTCTCCATAGACCAAGGCTTTTATTTTCCTGACTTTCTTTACATATGTAAATTTCATTTTTAAAATTTCTTATTAGTACACGTTTGCAGTATATACTGATTACATTCATTGTGGGAATTTGTACATGTGCATAACAGACCTTAATTTTATTTTCCCTTCCCTCCACTCCTGTTATTTTTTTCTTCTTCTCTGTTTTATTTTCTCTTTCTTGCCCAGCATCAGATTTAATTATTTATAACTCTATCAAGTTGATTATCAAACACAGATTAACAGCCATACTCACAGGCAAAAAACAATAAGCACATAAGACAATTATACAAAATCAAGCTATACTTTTAGACACTTTGGCCTTGGTGGGTTACAATAAAACTTTTTCTCCTTTTTTTTTTCTATTGCCTTGTCTTTCACTTTGCACTTTATATTGGATTTTTCATATAAGAGAAGCCGTGTAATATTTAAGCTTGTGTGTCTTCTGGGCTTCTTTTATTATGGTCTCAAGCTATACCTATTTTGCTACAAATAACTTAAGTTTATACTTTATAGG